CAGTCCTCTGACTGAGCTGAAAAGTGATGCTGATGTTTGTGAAATTCATAGTGGTTAGAAAAAGAGGAAATGACCAGCAGCCTTATGTGAGTCATTCCGCTTAACCATAAGGAACAGAAAAAGGGTCCGAAATACAGACTCTTCATTCATGTTAATTATTAATACAGTCACAATTACTGCAAGTTATAGGGTCATGCCAATCCAATTTATTACCCTTCTTTGCTGTAATTACTGATTTAGTACATAAAAGATACGCAATGGATATAGTGCATTTGGATTTCAGGAAGAGATTTGATATAGTGCCACCCAATACACTTGTAAAGGAATTGAATTGCTGCCAATTAGATAAAAATGCCATAACATGTATTAGAAATTGGTTGTCTAACAGGAAATAGGGATCAGTTATTTATGGAAAGACTTCCAAGTGCAGAACAGTATCAGCTGGGGTGCTGCAGAGGGCAGCATTTGGATGACTATTGTTTAATACATGCATTAACAATCTAGAGAGAGGGATAAATCAATCAAGGTCAAAATTTGCTCAAGGAACTCAAAGAAAGAGCAGGAGAGCAGAACTGAACTTCAGAGGGAGCAGGAAAAATTAGTTTAGTTCTCTGTAGTAAGATTTGATTTAAAGGCCTGTCTTCACGTACAGCGCTTTATTGGTGCAGCTGCACTGTTGTAGGTCTTTAGTAAAGACACTTGTATGCCGACAGGAGAGCTTTTCCCGTCGGTGTAGTTAATTCACCTCCCGGAGAGGCAGTAGGTATGTTGATGGGAGAAGCTCTCCTGTTGACATAGCGCTGTCTACACAGGAGGTTAAATCGGGATAATGATGTCACTCACGGGAGTGAATTTTTCACTCCCCTGAGCAACGTAGTTATACCTGTATAGGTCTGTAGTGTAGACCTGTCATAACAAATGGAGTCCCCAAACATAGGGGGAGGGAGTAAGATAGAAGCCTGGGAGAGGGCTATCTGAAAAGCAGTGAGTCTGAGATTATCTGGAATGAGCGTTGGTAACAGTCTCCATTAAAGCAGTGCAATTTGATGCGTTTGTGAAGAAAGCCCTTGCCATTTTCATGGTGATTCACATATAAAGCAGAAGAGATAATGGTAAAGAACTTGCCTTTAAATAATGTCTGTGTCCAAGTAGAAAGGTGTCGCACTAGCTCCAAAGCATGCCTTTCCCTGCCTACCACAACGGTGATCAGAAGGGATAGAAAGGTAGCTAGGGCTGTGGTGCGGGCTAATTAAGGGGAGAGTTGTCTTTCCTTTTCCAGCTGGCTAAGAAGCTGGAACTGTCTCTGGCAGTTGGGACCCACTGTTGTGAGCAGCTTGTTTTTGTTTGGAATCCTTTGTTTATGAATCAGTAAGAGAAAGCCCATGCAAAGGAATTGAAACTACTGCTGGTGAGCATGTTATTCAGCTTCCCTTACTCGTGGTTCTGCCCACCAGCCGACAGTGACTTTCACGTAAACAGATCTCAAAGCTGCTTAAAACCTTTTTCCTAAATGAGATGTACAAATCATATACGGCTGCTTACGCAGTTTGCTAGTCAGCCTCACCTCACTCTCATCTGAAGAAGGTGAGGAAGATTTGGTCCTGACTGCAGAGAAGGACTCGAGGAATCACTTTACCTTCTAGTGTGGTGCAGTAATCTCTAGAGTGAAATGTAGTAAGTGTTTGAATACACACAGTAATAACACACAGCAGTTTAGGAGACAGAGTGAAGAATACCATGTCCAACAGAAATTACAAGGGGATTGGAAGTGGGCAGAATGTCAGTACCACGTAGGAATTTGGCCAAGATACCAGGGTTGACATTCCTACAAATACCAAAAAGGAGAGGGGATCTTTAATGGCAACTCTGCAAAAGACAGCATCTCAACTCCTCTCCCCATGCTATGGCATGGCCATGATTGAGTTCCCACTCACAGGCAAAATTGTTGTCTGCTGAATTGCCAGCTCAACTTCTTGTAGTGCTTAGGTTTTCCATGTAGGTTTCCTATCCATGTATCAGTCTGGCCTGAAGAGCTGATTAGATCTAATCACATCACAGCCTGACGAGGTATGATTGCACGTAATAGTGATTCTTTGCCTAACTTTGCAGCCATTCGTAGTCTTGAAATGTAATTTTGATGTAGAAAGGATATTTTAAAATAACTTAGAGAAAATATCAAGAAGGGCAATAAAATGATATGTGAATTGGAGGATAAGATATATGAGAGAAGAGTAGAATCATGGGGAGATAAGATCATCAAAGTAACAATATGAAGAAAGATAAGACAAGGAGCAATGGCCACAGGTTAAGGGAAGAAAAGGGTTTGCTATAGCAGAACAGTGTAATGGGCTCTCAAGGGAGACTTTCTCACCCAGTATGGGACTAGGTAAGTCATTTGTGAGACTGATCGTAAGTACATCTACAAAATATAGTATCTCTGATTGGATGAACCAAGCAGACGTTTCTTTCACTCTTATCAGTGGTTCTATCTAGATCACATGAAGGGTAAAACAGAACCAGGGGTGTCTGTCAGGTAGCCAGAGCATTTCCAGTAATCAGAGAAACTTCCAATCACATTTAACTTGAATGGAAAAGTTAAGGGAATTAGTCACTCTTTCTGCATGTGCTTTCACTGCTTTTAGCAAAGGTGCTGGCTGACTCTCAGAATCCAGGGGTGCAGAGGAGTTTGATAAGGTCTTACAAGTACTGGGGAAGACAAGAGGTGGGAACCTTACACCTCAGGTGTCACAGGTTGCTAAACTGGAGACTTAATAAGCAGGGTAACTGTAGATCGTGCTGTTTGGTAGACTGGAAGAGGTAGATACAGAACAATAATGCTAGCAAAGTTACACTATTTCAGTACAGTGAATCAGATACTGTAATTACTGTAAAAAGGGCAAGTCATACAATCTGCTATGAAAACGTAAGAGAAAAAGTCCTTATCATGATGCAGAAGGTAATGTTATGTTACTGTGAGGTGGTATGCAAGAAGGAATCAGCACTTGATATATATAAGTTGTGAAAGCAGCTTTCCTTTGACAGGAATGTAATGATGAGACAGGGAGAAAGGACCTAAGAAATCTTTGTCAGATATATTGATCCACAGACCATTGCAAGTTAAGCTCTCTTGTCTAGCTGTCCTCTCTAATTATATTAGCATGAGGTATTAATATTTTGCGTGTAACCCTTACAGTTGTTGTTAATTGACTGCCAGCTGTGTGCGCTGGGCGCTGTCCAATCATACAGACTACGCAATGCTTGTTCCAAGAGGATCGCAGTCTGAATTCCTTGGGTTAGGCTTGGTACATAGATATGAAAGCTACATGCCCGCTTTTCTTAAGCAGTTTAGCTATGGATCATTGAGCCCATTTAGATGTAAGTACAATTGTTAGATTATGCTCAAGGTGCATTTCACCTCCAATTTAAGAGATCACTGAAGTTGCACTCCATCTTGTATTCATATGTGGCTGTTAAAGACACACTCTGCCATTAGTCCTTAGCCTGCCGTTGCTAGGGCTCATTTAAGTTTTCAGCATATAGCTTGCCATATAGCATTCAGGAAATTGCACCTGGCAGTCTCAGCTGGCTTTGGCAGCTACTTTTCCTTGAGGTACAGCAACTTACACAATCTTGCCTTCTGAACTCTGCCCTCAGTTATGGTTCTCCAGCGACAGTGACGTCAGTGGGGCTGCACAGGCATAACTAAGGGCAGAATGCAGACTCTGGAGAGTGTTTTGAGGAATCCTAAGGATAGGTTTGTTTCAGTATAATGGGAGGTTTGATCAAGTCATAAATTGTGAAATTGTACAGCTCAGGGGCTGAATGTTTTGTTATCTGTTTGCCAGCATATTGTCTTACTGCTTCACTCCTGGATGATTTAAAGCCGTTTGATGCTGGCATCCGTTGCAGTCCCTGTGCTGATGCAGAATACTGAGTAAATGTACTTAGTAATTGTACCTCTGTGAATCAACCTCAACCAATACCTAACAAATAGATATCAAAGGACATTTTTTTTACCATCAAAGGAGGTGATGATGATAGGTTTGGTCTACCCTGCACCTTTTCCATACACTCTTAATCTTTATTGCAGGTTGTCAGCCATGGTTTCTAGTTCATTATATTTTCTTTATGTGAATGGTGCTATATCACTATGGACAGTGCTCATATCTGCAGGATATAAATTATCTAGTTAAGGTTGCACGCAGAGACATTTTAAAACCCAAATATTGTCCTGCTGTTCAAATAAAATATCATTTCAATGGCATTTCAAGATCTTTCTTACAAAACAAGCCTTTTGAAATCTCCCAGTGTGGGGATAAATTGCGCCTTCCCCTTTGTCAGTGTGCGGGATTGGGGAGATAGAATCATAGAATATCAGGGTTGGAAGGGACCTCAGGAGGTCATCTAGTCCAACCCCCTGCTCAAAGCAGGACCGATCCCCAACTAAATCATCCCAGCCAGGGCTTTGTCAAGCCTAACCTTAAAAACTTCTAGGGAAGGAGATTCCACCACCTCCCTAGGTAACGCATTCCAGTGTTTCACCACCCTCCTAGTGAAAAAGTTTTTCCTAATATCCAACCTAAATCTCCCCCACTGCAACTTGAGACCGTTACTCTTTGTTCTGTCAAGGAGATGGTGCAAGGAGCATGTGTGCTGGGAAGGCTAGTGCTTTTTGCACTAGTAACATACACTTCAGGGTAGCTGGGCTGGGAGAACAAGACCCCATCTGTGCCATGCTTCTTCCAACACCAGGAAGTATTATGCCTTTGAAAGACATAATGCCTTTAAAAAGCAGTGCACTGTCTCCTCCTGCCTCTTCAGACAAAGCTCCATGGCTGAGGTTAAAAGGGCCTCTGTGGAATGTGATTAACTGTGCCATAAGGAATTCAAATAATACCATTAAATCACCACAATCACGTTGTCTTGTTTTGCTCATGTCTGACCTCTCTCAGTGCTAAGCCTGTTGCAGTCTCTTACATTTGTTTTCTCTTTCTCCACAGAATGCAATGAACTTGCCACCTGACAAAGCCAGGTTACTTCGGCAGTATGACAATGAGAAGAAATGGGAGTTGATCTGTGATCAGGTAAAGGGGAGCCATAAGGGTTTTTAGCATTGTAGTCATTAAGGGCACAAGACAGGTTTCTTCCTTGTCCCTATCTTTAAGGGGGGCACTGTCAAGGACAACTTTTTCTATGGCTTTTCCTTTCTTTGGCTTTATGCTCCATTGTTTCTAGCATCCCTTAGAAGCTATCCAATAATACTTCTTTCCCATCTATTAAATAATATTTCTTTCCCATCTGATCTTACTCTGTTCTATTTGCATATTTCCGTGTGTGCTGGATGACATTAACATTAATGTGGCATAGATTTAAGGAGGGTGACCTTTCTTCACCCTTAGGCCTCTGGTTTGAATTTGACCTAGATTAGTGATGCCCCAAATTATTACTGTCTTTTGGTCTATGTGAAATGAGGGGGGTTCAGTTCACAAAACCACGATCATGCGTATCACCCTCAGCAAAGCATGAATGCTTATGGAGCTTAACTATTTCTTCATTTCCAATTGAACGACTTCAACTTAAACAGCACCGTATGCCAAGAAGTGTTTGTGCACTAGCTTCACTGTTTTGTCAGCACAGCTCTGAGAATAGCATATGATCGTTAACATGTTGGCTCTGCAACAACAAAGGAACAGAAAACAAAATATTTAAAGAACAAAGAAGCGAAAAATGGCAGGACATAGATTTCGGAGATAACACCTAAATCGCCTTGTAATTTACACAGTCATTGCTAATAACACAAATCCGGATTCCGTTTAGCTTGGGGTGAAAGAATAAGATGTACTGTAAAGATGTAACCACAGAGAAAAAGTTAGGATGTAGGCACCCAGAGTGAGAATTCAGGAGAATCTCTAATCATGTTGATGGATCATGGACAGGATAGTAAAAAGCTCTGTGGGACATCTCCCATACATCCTCCAGTGGGGTAGAGTGTTAAAAAGTCAGATTATCTTGAAGTAAATTGCAATACAGGGCCATCTCCTGGTGTTCCTTGAATATTCTATACAAAACATTTAAAGAATTGTGCTACTTAAAATTACTGCTTACTGAAACACTGCAGTAAATTGCTTAATCTACTGTAAGTAACTACTGTTCTCAAGGATTATTGCTTAGAGCATGTACTGTTAAAGTTTAAGTAATGAATTGTGAGATTCATCCGTGGTATTATGCAGTCATTTTGCACCTGTACAAGATTGAGGAAGAAGGAAGCAGCCATATCAAATGGCTTAGAGCTGGTCATACATTTACAGTACACAGCTGCTGCCACTTCACATAAGTTTTGAAGTCTATAGATAAAAAGATAACAGAGCTGAGACAGACAGGTGGTGACATACAGCACAGGAAACATGAGGGAAAATCCCAGTAATTAGTGGCACATTTTCATCACTCTATTTAAAATACACTGGGTCAGATTCTCAGCCAAGATAGGTCCCCTTTCCATTGAACTGATAGTGATGGCACAGAGAAGTCACTGAGCTGTCCTAATGAGCTGCTGCTGATTCTCTTAATTGGGAAAATCAGAAAGTGGAATAGAGTCAGAATAGCTGGCTTTATGCAACCCCTTCCTGGGTGCATCCCTCATATGGGGCCTACATTGGAGTCCTAGAGGCATGTGACTGAAATGCTGTTTGCCACAGCTCCCTAGCTGCCCTGACATCACCTTGGGAGTGATTACCAGTCAGTGTAAATTAGAGCAGCCATGAGGCGAACGTCTGTAATGAGAGTGTAGTACAGCATATGGTGCATGAAATATTTGTATCTGTCTGCATAATTATGGCACCAGGTTAAAACACATTCTCCCATGAATAGGCTTTGTATGTAATATGTTTTCAATTTTAATTGACACAGAACATGAACTGCTGTTTTTTATTGACATCCTTCATTACTCTATGCCGTTTTTTCATCTTTTTAGTTAAAAAGAAAAAAGTAAGTGACTTAATATAACTGCCTAAGAAATTAACAACTTTCATTCCATAGAGTCCTGTGCCGGATTTGAAGTAATGCCCTGAAGGAGGAAGGCCCTAGATTAGAGCAGTATTCTCAGACTGTGTGGTTTATAAGTAGTTTATGGCGCATTTCCTGGTCATGTGCCTATGGAACATTTTAAGAAACACACAGTGGGGAACTGGATGGAGAAAAGTGACTCCATAAAATGAACTTCTTCTTACAGCGTGTCTGATTTATGAACAACATTGGAGAACCACTAGTTTCATTCTTATTTGAAGAGGCAGATTATCTCACATCTGCCTACGCTGGGTTTCTTATATCTTCCTTTGAGGCATCTGGTACTGGTCACTGCCAGAGACAGGATATTGGATAGAGGGACCTTGGTTCTGATCCAGTATAGCAATTTCTCTGTTTCTGTATTATTATAAATCTTCTGAGCCAAGTAGGCCCTTCTCCTGCCACGCTAAAAGAGTCTTCCCTGCTGCTAGTTCACTGAACAAGGAGTAAAATTAAGAGTTACTAAGAGGTATCAGAGTTCCTGGGCTCACAGGCCATGGGAGAATTGCTGACGAGATGCTCATGATTCCTGAAGAGGTGGTAGGGTAAGAAGGTTTCCTGCTGCTGCATCATTTGCTACAGCTAATTGTTTTGGAGAAATGAGGTGTCATTAGGCCACTCATCTGGTTTTAAACCGCGCAGTCCTGCTTTAGTAATATTTGTCTCCCAGCCAGTTCTGAGACAAAACCAGACATGGTTTTGTCTGGTATCGGATGCTGTAATGGATAGCACACCTCTCTGCCCCTGCCAGTATGACCTCACATACACTGTTCGTGCGATGGGAAAGCGGAGTGGCATGCTTTTCAAAATCATGTGCCCCGGCCATCATGACCTAGAATACAAGGTCATGCTGGAAGGGGCGTGGCCACACTGGCAGGGGTATGCCTATGCCATTCCTGGAGGGTACCTGAATGTCCAGTATTCCAGGAATGTGCAAGTGGCCATCTGAGTGAGGTGACACCATCCTTGGGAGATCTGATTCTAATTGATGATTACAAGCCTAGAGAAAAGATTGGAGGATGTTCCTGTTTCTGGACCAGAACAGCAGGAGAGCCATCTAAGGGAGAATGGTGGGAAAGGATTGACACAAGAGAAATAAAAAGCTCCAGTTTCTAGCTGCAAATCCTCTAGCCTTGGAGATTCCTTATTGTGGAGGCTAAACAGAAGGAAGCTGGGTATCAGGAATGGTCTGAGTTAGATAGCAGGGAAGGTGATAAAGTTTTTTGCATTTAGTAGGCTGCCCTAAGGCTTAGGAAATATTAGAGTTTTGCAATCCTGTGGAAGGGTCAGGGCTTATAGGCCTTTTCAGATTTCTGGGCTGAGAATACTGTGAAGGGGACACAAATGTTGTGGGGATGGTGGGGAACATGTTACAAAGCATTTTCATGCCCCTGTTGGCTTGCTCTCGCATGACATGGCAGTCTCAGAGAAGACTCACTTCCAAGCCAGGGTGACTTCTGTATTTGAAGCTGTTGGTGGTATGTGGAGTAACAGAGAAAGGATAAGTAGGAGGTCTACAAGGAAGGCAATGGTTGGTTGAAAATCACAGGACTGCCACCAAGATTAACTATTTTGGTGAGTCAGTGTTGTTTTTGTAATGAAACCCAATATCAGGGAAGTATTTAACCAAAAGGCTCCTGTTCTAAGGATTTGTTACCAACACGGTGAAGGTTCACAGAGAGATTCTCTGAGGTTCCTCAATTTTTTGGAGCAAGATGGGGTCTTGATTGGAGTGAGCTGGGGCCTCGTTTCCAGTGAGCTTGGCTCAGTATGGAGTTGTGGGTGGAGAGCATGGTAGCTTCACCTGAAACCAGGCCAAATTTGATGCTTCGGCTAAGCTTTACTTTAAAATTTTGTGCTGATTGTAACTTGAAGCTCAAAAGGAGATTCAAATCACTGGGGACTCAAATCAGAAAATAGTTTTTACAAAACTTGAAAAACCAAATCCCATTTCTCTCAGATCTAGGGTGAATCCTTGACTCTTTTGAAGACAATCGCAAAACACCCTTTAACTTCAGTGGGGCCAGGATTTCATTCCTGGTTATTACCGCAGGAAAATGAGAACCATTTTGGCATGTTCCTTGGCCAAAGTTCGTGTGTCAAAGAGAATCCACACTCAGAAGCTGATGTCTTCACACTATGCTGCATAAAAGTAAACAAATCAGAGCCATTAAAATGCTCTCGGTATTAAGATAAGATCTATAATCACAGAAGAACCCTGGAAGGATTTATTCCCCTTTATACTTGCATTGAACAAGCCTTATATGTTCTCTTTAAAATAAATAATCTACTTCATTTCTAAAACCAAAATTAATTATTAAGCCTTCTGTCCTGAGCTGAGGTTACTGATAAAAGATCTACAGTTCACACTCAATTATTTTCACCTTGACACTACTTTCTGGAACCCAGCCTTCCCTTTCACACCTCCTGCATCTTGGCTTCTGACCTCTGTACAATCACTTTTTTATGAATCTTTTAAAGGGAAATGATGTGAAACTATTCTTTCCATGAATCACGGTAGGTTTTGGAATAGATTGATAGCTTAACTGCAACATCAACACAGATCAGTGACTGACATTTAAAGCCCTGAACATTAGAGACTAGACTACAAGTACCCAGTTACCCTTTAGCCACGGCCTGGGCATTGTTTTAAAGGCGCCATCAGTCATCACAAGTGGCAGAATTGTTCAGACAAGATTATTTTAAAGGGTATTTTCTGCATGTTGAGTTCAGCTCTCAGATGGATTATTGAGTTCAAAGTCTATTTTACTGATAAAGAAAAACTGAGAGGCAGGTTGATTGTGGTGGAGGCTGAGCATGGATTGTGATTTCTTTTTGCCTGATAATTACTGATTATTTAAAATAAGTAGCTGATAAGCCCTGAACCTCTGTTTAGTTGTTTGATCACGGAAGGGTAGTTGAAAAATGACTTCTTTTGCTGTGTATCGTCCTGGAAATCCATTAACTCTTTGGCAGCAGTTTTCATGATTTCTTCACACTGAGCACTAATATATTTGGTGTC